TGTTTTGACGGGATACACTCATTTCTAAGTGAACAAGCAAAAAATAAAGACATTACTCATATTTTGTAATATGTGCACAAGTGGTGCTTAAACAATACAGTCCAAACACCTTATTGTTCAGATCATGTACATTTTTAACTTTCCCGAGGAAAACATACCTTAATTAGCCAGCTGTAATCTAAATTATAGTTTCTCATTTCTGAAAGCTGTTAAAATACCTTAAATCAGCTGCATATGTCTGAAATAATAACAAAAATAACTGCAATAGCAAAAATTATCAGAATGTGAGAGGGCTATAAATAGATAGGAGGTGAATTGGACAGTCGGCAGATTCTGAGTTGGATTAAAAACATCTTACTTATGCCAAAAACATGGCAACCAGTATTTTCTGTTATAAAAATATTTGAGATTAATTTAGTTTTATGAAAGCTGTCAGAAGCTGAAGTGAATAGCAGGAGTTCTCTGTTTATTTACAAGCCAATGCTAATACCTGAAGTATAAAGTGAGGTACCCTACAAACAATGACAGCAAACCTTTGATTGTATTAAAAAATCTCTTTTGCTGGGGGATTAGAATGACCTGTATGTTCCTGTTCTGTCGGAATAACCTCTGCCTTGATAACACTTGTCATTCGAGCAAATGGTGTGACAGGTCTGTGAGGTGGATTACTACTGTCCACTAGAGGCTGTAATGAGACCAACAATGTCATTTTATGACAGATTGATTGAAGACTTGAACTGTAACAATATTTGATCAATAATTGTGAGATTACTTTTCACACTCAACACATTGTCAACCACTGCATTTCCCTGAATGTTAATATTTAACAAAAAAAGATCCAACTTACTACATCTCTTATTCTACAAATTTTTCATAAGTACTAGTAATTGTACAAAACATGCTATRTAGATGGCACATTACAACGAGTGAATTGAAACAGAGTTTCTTCCAGATAGTGTGCATCTTGCATGTCAAATTGTTTATTATCTTTTGGTCAGTACTATATTTTCCTGGGAGTCATACCAGTTTCAGCACATCACCAGCAGTAAATACAAACGCTTGGGTCTGTGCGGGTTCTTGTGTTCCACGCACTGCCTTTATCAACACCTTCATATTTTATGAAATTCTTTGTGGAGGGAATACACTGAGGCTCAGAGTAGGCCCTTGGCAGGGGAGCTGTAGAGGCACAAGGATGTCTGGTGACATGGGTTGTATATTCCCGTTGTTAGGCTACATTCGGAGAGGCACAGTCCCCTCATCCCTTGTGGTTTAATGCAACCAATGCGTATCAAGTCACAATAGAGGTGAGAGCGGGTTATGAACCTGATGTGGCTGGTGGTGGTTGTTGCACTTCCCAGAGCCATTGGTTAAGTGCCTGCTGGCTCAGAAAAGTACTATTGCTCTGACTTACAATGGACTTATATTTTGGGGCCTGTTTTCTACTCTGAAGCAGAAACACAAAGATGTAAAAGCCTAGAGCATGGAGTGTGGCAAAAAATGAGGGTCCTGAGGCAAACACCACAGCCACAGAGTGGAGGAACACACAAACCTCTTACATCAGCCTACTGTAGAAGGAAAGGTTGCCCAAAGCTTGCTTCAGCATGAATGTGGCTTCTCTTTCTCTGTGTGTGCCACACCTCTTGGCAAGGTGAATGTTTGAGGAGGAAAGATTCCTTTCTCCTGAGGTAACACTCTGTACTACTGGAATAAAAAAGGTGGCAGACAGAATACCTTGTACTCTGAATTGAACCTTGATGATGGGTTTTCAGTTTCTCCAGGGCTTTCACTTGATTTTCAGTAATCTCCAGTCTTTGTCTCTTTCCCTTGGTTCCTTTTATTAAATCAATGAACCTTACATTATCTGGGTGAATATAATTTTGCTGTCTGCTTTGCTGCTGAAGATTCACTCTCTTTTAGTACTGAGCGGCACATTTGTCCAGATATCTTGGCCTGTTTCTCTCTCCAGATCACTGCTAGAACAGAAAATCATGTTGATTTTCACAGTGAATCCAAACTAAAGACACAGGAGGTGCTGTGGTAAAAGATCCTTGTGTTTCGTAACACCAGTCTATATTACAGTATTAACTCTAAATCCAGAATGCTGTGGCTTACAATGCTATTACTATGTTTTTTAGCAGTTATATTGAGCTGGTACTGTCCTTTATAGAAGGGACTGCTTTGCTGAGCTGCATAATGGCAGACTGAATCCTAGGGTACTAATCATCTAGACTCTGCTGCTAGATTTAATTTTTAGCTAAACCCTAATGCTAATATATAAGGGATACGTAGGAGGTATACCTGCTAGAAACCTGGTACCTTGGAGCKTATTTTCATGGCAAATTGGTACAAGCTGCAATAAACACCCTGATCTGGATGACCATGTTATATGAAGTGCACATCTGAGGCCTTTCTGAGGCCTGTGACCCCACTGTGTCCGGCTCCTTGGAGGTGGTGTGTAACAGCCTTTTGTATTTAGGCAACTTTTTTTTTTGCAATGTCCTTGGGGTGCTCCTCTTCCTGATGCCAAAGCAGAGAATGAATGGCTTCTTATGGACTACTCTCGGGTTGCATGCAAGCAGGCATAGTATCCCACTGTCCTTTGGCTGCATTCATCCCATTCATTGCTTTCATAATTTGTTTTATTTCTCTAAGTTGTACCTAGCTTGGTAAGTTGATGTTGAGTCCTTTTTTTTTTTTTTTTTTTGATAAACTTGAAGACCAGACTGAGACAGTCCAGCAAGAGGATATTTTCACTGGTCTCTGTTTTGCATAGCACTTGCAGGCACCTGCGCTGTGGGAAGTAAGAGAGTAACACACTGATGCTGGAGTGCCAGGGAAGCGTAAGTTGCCATAGCTGGTGGCGAGGAGGTGGGGGGAAGTTTGGGAGAGGCTCACAGTGGTCTGCATACAGCTGGGAGAGATGCAAAGGGATTTTTGATTAAACCAGTGCTGAGGAATCCAGAGGGAGTTAGTACCCAAACATGCGTGGTTCAGCCCTGCCTGTCTTGTAGTTCAGTGACGGTATGAGTCAGAGCCTCTTTGGTCTGAATGAAGTGGAAGGTACTTTCTACAAAGCAACTCAAGCATATGCCAAGGATCCGGATAAATAAAACTAATTCAGAAAAAGGGAGTGGGATGCAGGCTCTTGCTCTAAATCACTTCACAGTTCTCCACAGTGAAATGCAATATGGCATCTTAAATAAAATCACCCTCTCCTGACTCTCGCAGAGGCTGCTTCAGAGCATTCCATTCCCTGGTTTCCAGCAGTTTTATTTCCTCTCTTAGACAGAGCCTTCACTGAGCAACCGATTTTCGTGCATCCTTTAAACCAGCATTCCCTGCCATTTCTGAAGGACAGCACGCGTCGCTAGCTGTTTCTTCCCCCTTAAACAATATAGGTTTGGGGTTGGGTGTTTTTTTTTTCTTTTTCCCCTCCCCATCTCATTGCTTTCCGCCTGCAAAGTGATTTGAGAGCCCCGCGACGCAGCCTACTACAGGAGCGGGGACTTCTCTGGAACACTGGCGTGCGCAGGGATTTATCCCACCGTAAAGAGCCAGCCTGGCCTTTGAAGTATTWCAAGGGGAAGGAGGAGGTAAGTGTCGACGCGAGTCCTCAGCCCCCTCCCCGCCCCGGGGCAACGTGCGGCGGCCCGCAAAGGGTTAAAGGCCGCCTTGGCCCGGCGGTGCCGTGCGTATGCAATAATCTGTGTGGCTCTCTTGGCCGCCTGCCAGAGTGTTGCCTTGCCTCCTCCTCCTCCTCCTCCCTTCTCCCCCCCCTCCCCCTCTAAACATTACAAATGTTGGCTCTGATATTTGAACATTTCAATCCTAGTACAAAGGCAACTTGTTTCTTTATTTCAGAAGTAAACTCATAATGGTGGCCCCCTCCCCCCCCCGCCTTTTGCATGAAGTAGGATCCTTGAGCTGTTGCAGAGGCAGCCAACTGCTCCATATTTGGCTTCTATTACCCATTTACATGCTGGAGAGCGGAGAGGGAGCGAGCGCTGTACTGCAGACATCATTTCTACTACAGTGGTGGAGACATCCCGGACCTGTGTCACTGCAGGGGGAAGGAAAAAAGCCAAACAAACAAAAAGCAGACCCAAGCCCCGTGATCAGCTAGGAAGACATTTGTGTGCGAGTCTCTCTCTGACCCCCCACCCCCGCCAACCCCACCGCCTCTGGCTTCTTCCCTTGTTTAGACTGCAAACCGCCGGCGATTTCCAGCTGGAAAAACACGGGGCTGGGGGGAGAGGGGAACGCGCTGTCCACCCCGCCACGGGGCTGCAGCCCACCTCGCTGCGGCCGCCCCTAGCCAGCCACGGCCCGGCCCGGCCCGCAGGCGCTGCCGCCGCAGGCCCGGCCCTTAGGAGAGAGGAAGGCAGGGAGGGAGAGGGAGGTAAAGAGGGAGAGGGGGGCGGCCGCGAAATGGCCGAGGGCGCCGCAAGGGAACGGAGTGGGGATGCGGGGACACAGGAGCGAGCAGGGGGCCGAAGCGGCCCCGCGGCGGGAGACGCTCGTACAGCCCTGCTCCCCCCGCCCTGCTCCTTCCTCACCCCTCCCTCTCCGCTTCCCCCCGGCCCGGGTGGGGTGTGGGTAGCCGCGGGGACGGGTGGACATTTTGCGAGTCGCTGCTGCCCCCGGTGTGCCTGTGTGTGCGGGGAAGTGTCGGGGGGCGGGGGTGGGGTGTGCGGTGCCGGTGCGTGTGTGGCGTGTGTGCGGTGTGTATGCGTGGGGGTCGCGGTGCGTGTGTGCAGTGCAGGTGCTATGTGTGTGTGCGGGGGGTGCGGTGCGGTGCCGGTGCGGTGCCGTGTGTGTGCGTGCGCGGCGCGGTGCGGTGCGGTGCGGGGGGGGCCGGACGTACCCGGCGGGGCGCAGCGCGGGGCCGGTCGCCGGCAGAGCCAGTCGCCGCCGCCGCACGGCGTATGTAGTACGGGGCTGGGCGGCTGCTGGAGGGTGAATGAAGCGAGGAGGAGGCGGCGGCGGCGGCCGCGGGGGAGGCGGCGCTGGCGCTGGGATGTGCCGGGCAGCAGCCCCACTCCACTCAGGGCCCAGGCCGGCTACAGACGCCACCCGGTACTGCCGGGAGGGACGGGGCGAGAGGGATGGGGGAAGGGGGGCGCTGGGGCGCCTCCGCCCCGCTGCTCGTCCGCGGCCGTGGGGTCCGGCCGGCGGCGTCCCGAGGGGAAGCGGGGCCGGGGTTCCTCGCCGCCGCTTACAGATCCTCCGCCGCCTTCGGGTTTGCTTGGGTCGGGTGGGGGTGGTTAGGTTGCGGGCGTTTGGGGTTAGTTGGTGGTGGTTTGGGTTTTGGTGGTTTTTTTGTTTTNTATTATTATTTTTTTTTTACCCTAAGGCATCGTAATTTACCGGCAGAAAAACAAATAAATGACCCCGTGTACGGTTGTGGGTGCTGAATCCGTCAGTGTGATTCCTGAGAATATTAAAGTCTAAAGCGTGCTGGGAAAGCGTTAGCTCTTACTGTAATAGCGATAATAATAAAATGACAGAATTGGGAGCGATTTACATGTTATTGAAGAGGAGGAATTACTGAAGAGTAATAATAGAAAAGAAAACAAGTGGTAAGCCCGTTATATAATGCACTGTGTAGACAACGAGAGCGACAGGCTATTTTTATTTTGTTTACTGTATGCTGTGTAATAGGGACTCCTCCGAGCAGCATCTCTCCCCCATGAGCCCGAACTCCAGATAGAATTGGGGAAAAAAAATTAAGCATTCATTTTAAGACCAGACGAAGAAATTTAGATTTGTAAAACCTTCCCCTTTACAAATGATTTCTGTGTACAGATCCTGAAGGGTGTAGAGGTAGATGACCTTTGCCGGAGACCTTTTCCCTTTCATATGGTAAAGAAATTAATATTTTGTAACACAACTTACACTTTAACCTTTAATGCTCATGGTTATGTATTTTACGTAGTAATGATTACTTTACGTGTCAGATACGGTGGAGCATAGTGAGTTACTCTGCTGACGTAGTGGTAAGTCAAGGACTTTTAATTTCAGTTTCGAATGAAACCGTCTCCTTAAGGAAAATCCCGGTTTCATGTTAATCTGTTTCTGTTCGCGTGGTACAGACGGTGCAGTTATATCATATGGATCAAGGGTTATGAATGGGGGAGAGGGAAATTGAGAATGGCCAGGGAAAATATTGCGCCGTAGTTATTTTTGTGATGCTGCAAGACAATAGTAGTAATCGTACGTTATTACACCTAATTTGTTCGTAAAACTGTCCCGGTATTTTACGGGCAGCAGCTATTTTGAAAGGGTGGCTGTAATCTCACTTTTTATGTAAGGCAGAGGTCGATAGGTTTTTCTCAGTGCTCGGCTGTCTGTCTCTCTCATCATGTAGCGACATGTCAGTGGTGCAGCCTTTCAGCGCGCTTACTCCAGCCCTGATCAGTCATGTAATTAGATCAGGCTGCCATGGTAACAGACGGGATTCACCGTATCCACCGGCCAGCCAGGTGCGTGTGTGGCTGGCGGGCGACCCAGCGGGCTACCGCCAGCCCTGCGGGTGCCGTGTTGGTGGCGTACGGCCGGCACGGCCACCGCCTTGGGCTTTCCGAAAATTGAAAGATGCCGGTGGTGGGTTCCTAATGGCTGAACTTCTCGGGAAGGGTGTTCTTTGCCTACTGGAGTGTCAGCCAGATGGGACTGTACATGGCATGCTTAGCAGGTCAGCCAGATCGTCAGTTCCACTTGCATGTATTGTTAGCAAATTAATGAAGGTGTAGGACTTTGTAAAAATGCTTTTGGCTTATACATGAAAGTTTCTTCGGAGTTTTTGTTTTTTTGGTTTGTCCCCCCCCCATCTGTCTAGTCTCACTGTTTGGTGGTTGTAGCGGTGTTTGTTAACAGTTCGTATTCCAGCATTCTCATTATAGGCCACAGGCTTTTTATTCTCTGTTCATGTACTGTACTTTACACCCTCTGTCTGGTAAAATGAAAATCGGTGATACTTGATATCAGTATTGTCGCTTTAGGTTTGTTAAGCCTCCTCATAGTTCATAGCAAGGTCTAGGCCATTTTATATTTTAGGTGAAAGCTGACTGCAGTTTCTCATGATAAATTCCTGAGTATATTAAAAAACAATTTTTGCCTCGGCAAACACTTCGTTCCTAGTGTGGGTATTTTTTTTTTTTTTTTTGCTTTTGTGCTCATTACAATACTATAGCCACAGAGCAGGAGACTTTCTGACACAGTTTATGCCTTCAAAGAATAAGCATTATAATTAGCTTTGAATGCATGTTGCTTTTAAAAATGTTTTTTGCCAAGCAGTGTATACTTGTCTTCATTCTCAGCGTTTGGACATCACTCTTTTAAGCGATGTAGGTATAATTTTTTAATTTGGCACTGTGTTCTAATRTAATAAATCCAGAGCAACTCCAGGGGATGGGATTGTGAGGCACTTACATGGGCGTATATCTTGAATAACTCCATTAATTGGACTTAATCCAAGCATGTAGTAGAGTAACCGAGCTCAGAAAGTGATCTGCTGCGTATCACTGTTATTTTCTCTGTGTTACTTTTCACGGCAAAAAGCACTGTGGCTTAAATAGGATTTTTGCCTGATTAAGAAGCTGCATTAAGTGTCTGCAGAAGTGGGTAACACCGCTATTCCATTCACTAATCTTGGGTGCACTTACACTAATATTAAACTTGGCCCGGAGGATTTTGTGTCTCAATGATGAGAAATCGTCAGCACCCACAGCTTCTCTGCATTTGTAGTACCAGGCTGGAACATAAAGCAATCCAGAAATATCTCAGTAAAATAGATATTTTAATCACTCTTATGGTTAAGTACTGGAGCTGGAGGAGGAGGCAATGAGAAATGCCTGTTGATGGTTCAGCTCTTGTGGTGACAGGCAGCTGGTGGTCTTGGGTTTGGTGTGATGAATTTGCAGGTCTCAGCCTGCCTGCTGAGCTTGGATGTTAACTTCTTGGAGGGGTGAGGGGACGGGGTATTTGCAGGCAATTTCTTGCACTGAAGTGCAGCTTTTCAGTGCTTCAGCTAACTTGTCCTTCTGGTTGGGAGAGAATATCCTCTGCTCAGTGCAGCCGCCTTCGTTTTGGGCCTCCATTCTGAGGAGGTGGCTTGAAACAGAAGAACTTGTTAGGAGGACTGGCTGGACAGAGTGGAATAGTCACGAGCAGGATGAGTCCTGTAGTGTGAGTCTTTGTGTGCCGCATGCTGCTTATACATATTTTATGGTAATAAAAATTACCTGTGTGACTACAAGTGTTAGAAAGCAATTATTTTCAAAAAGGCCATATATGCATAGTTAAAAAAACTTTTCTGAAAATAAACAGTGTGACTTAGCTTTTCTAGTCTGATTAAATCTATTTAGAAATAGACTTACTTTGTCTATTTAGAAATAGACTTACTTTGTCTTAGACATTAACAAAAATTTTTTATGCAATAGAACCAGTGGCCTAGTTTCCCATTAATTAAGAAAATAGACGCTGGAATGCAGTCACCTGAAAAGCAACTAAGGATTTAAACATTAGAATTTAAAAATCATTGTTTTAGTAATGTAGCTAGTAAAACAAAATCAAGGCCTAATTTTCCCCTTGCTGAAGTTTAGCAGCACATCTTAGCAGATGACAGTCAGGATGMTCACTGTCACTGTTCATATGCACACTGCTTTTGTTGTGGTGTACTAATTGAGGGGGAAATGCAATAAAGAAGTATGGCAGGCAGTAAAGGAAATGCGTGTCAGGATTGCATAGATGGTCTGAAGCACTGGCTGGCTGCAAACCTACTCCTGCATGTGAGGCAGCTGATGCTGGTGATGCTTGAGAGAAGTCAGTCTGTGTGACGGTCTCAGCTATAGCCATACAGGTTGTGAGTGAGCTGGCTGTTCTGGAGAGCTGTATGGGGATGGTGTGTACAATTCAGAGAGTGCAGATAACAGATTTAGTTGTGGGTCTCTTCTGAGGCTGCTGTAACATGCTCTGCATTAACAGATAAAGATATGATTAGAACAAGAAACAGGAGTATGGCAGGCTTGGCACAGGTAAATATTTCATTGCAAAGAACTGACTCTCTGTATGCCAGTGACTTTGATAGCCTAAGCTTTGCAAAGTGAAAAAACTGACCTCGTCCTTTCATTTTACTTTTATGCAAGACTCTTAAGTGTCATAAATAAATAAATAGGTATTTGGATGAAGGCGCTGTATTTTGAAGTCTTATTCGATGGTTCACATTCTTTGTATAAGAAAGTTGAAGAATTTTACTTGGTTGTAGCTGAGGTGATGCATGACTAATACTCTAAAATGTAAGAACCTTTGTAGATTCCTGATCTTTGCAAAAAGACAAAAACTGAATCAATGACCATRACTCCTTTTTGATCTTAGTGCATGTGTTGAGAATGTAATGCTTCATGGCTTTTTTTTCCTCTCAAAGCTGTAGTCCAAGGTGGTTATTCAACACATGCAAATCTGTATGTGTGCATTGGTCCCAGTCTGTACTTTAGTACATGTCCCAGTGAGGATTTTGCTGAATGAAAATTGATTAAAGAACGTATCTAGAGTTAAGTATGCATGTAAATTCTTCCCTACCTAGGAACAAGTAAGCATGCTCATAMACTGGAAAGCAGAAATTAATCTCAGTGAGGGAGAAATGGGCCCACTAAATCCTTTTATTGTATCAAGAGTGATAAGAATATTAAAACAAAAAACCCAAATGTATTTTGTTTAATAGGTGATGTCAGCAGAAGTTCATTGCTGATTCTTCATGATTTTACTGAGCAAAATGACAAAAAAATTAAAAATATACACTTTGGTAAAGTTTTTGTTTGTATTGCTTGGGAGTTTACAGTAATAGGCATCGACTCTAGCATGCCACCTTTAATGCCAAAATAGTGTACAAGGTAAAGTCACATTCCAATAGGTGATTATTTTTCAACTAGTAGTAGTAGTATTGCAGCAGTATATTTTCAGAGTGCTACTGCTTCACAAATAAAGTATGTTCTGTTGGCAGTGAAGACAGTCATCTCCACTTGCTCATGATTCTTCACCTCATTAAGATCACATTTAGGAAAAGAGCACTCTGAATAAATGGGCTCTGCTCCCTACTGTATGAGCTCTGTCTGCAGGATTAAATCTATAGTTTATTTGTGCTTGAGTAATAGTAAAAGCAGTCTTCAGTGGGATGTCTTAGCATGTTTGATCATTAAATGGTTTGACTCTTAACTGTGTTTTTGTTTCTCTTTGTTTTGGTTCCCATCTCCTCAACTCCTGGATCAACAGTCACATTGCAGGCCAAGCCAGATGAGCAAGCAATACAAGCTGTGAATTTATTCTCAACCCCATAGGACAGTGACCACCGTCATTCTTGTCTTCACCATACAGTTATGCACTCCCAGTAAGGTGAGAACAATGCTTTTTATTTCCTTTAACATGTGTACACTGTCTGCTCTGGGCTTTAAGCAACGTGGAMACCTTCCCAGTGTCTGTGTGATTACCTGCCTGTGATAGGTTTGTACTTCCCTTGCCTGGCAGTAGAGGTCCTTGAGAAACTCTTCTCAGAAAAATTCCTTTAACTCTGGTGACTCAGTTCAGTGACTTGTAGAATAAGTGGGTTCCAGATGAGTGGTTTTACGCTCACCTGAGGTCAGAGTATATTCAGTTACTGRAAGGTGTTCCTATGAATGGAAAACTTAGCAGATTTGATTTTTGTTATAAAATGCCATGTGTAAAATTGTATAAATCCCTCCTGTACTTTTATGAACATTTTCAGGATTTTTGTTGCTTGCCGCCTGCTTGGCTTTTCCACTGTCGTGAGTTTCTTTTGTGCATTAGACTTTGTCTGCCATTAGAGTAGTTCCCAGCATAAGCTGTCACTACTGTTGTGTCTGTGTGTCTTTTGTTCTGTTTTGAGGAATGCTTTCAGTTCTTCTGATTTTCTTCCCTGAAATGCTGTACAGACAGGGTGGAAAAGTGCATGTGTATCAGCCTGCTGCTGTCCTTTTCCCCTCTCTTTCCTTCCTATATGGTTCTGGAAAATAACTTGAAAAAACCAAGTCCCAAGACTCAACAATCATACTGCCAATAAAAAGAACATAAATTTTTATTTTATTTCTTTAATCTGATTGTCATTAAGTCAGCCTGTTTTTTTTTGACCTGTTCTATGATTTTTAAGTGCATAGGATTGGCAATACTGCTAATGCTTTAAGAAAAAAAAAAGATAAAGGGTCATAATAAAATTGCCTGTGTCTTTAAATAAAATTAAATGTAGTGATTGCTTGCAGAAAATCAAAGGGTTTTCTCAGAAAGCTTAATTACAGTTCTTATTTATGCTGGGCTGATCAGAAAGTCTCCACTGCAGAATAACTTTTTAATGTATACAGCATATCGTAGAAAAGTATGCAGCTCATAATTTGCATTTTATTGTGGCTGTGGGGAAGGGTGCTGTGTTTTAGAGGGAAATTGCCTAGGCAARTAGTTACATGCAAGGACATGCCTGTTACAGTTTCCAAATGAGCTTGAATGGTGGGGGTGGATGGTAACCACTGTAATTTCAGAGCAGTAACAGTTATCTTGAGAGTGAAGGTACAAAGTGCCCCTGCGCTGACACAGTTCATCTCTCCGTTTTGAAGAAAACTGACTTGGTAGCATCTATTGACTTCAGAGATGGAATAGAAGGAAGTTTTTTACTATAACATTATCATTTTCACAAAACATTTAATTTTTATCAGGATTAGTTTGTGTTTTGTGAAAATGTGTTTATTTGACGAAGTGATTACTACTGGAAGAGTTTGTATGTCTTAATTAAAAGAAGTAATTGTTTATAGTGCATCGGTCAAATCCTATGAATAATCAGATTGTGTTACCCTCAATGTATTGCTAAGTCACCCTGGACATTTTAGCATCTGACATTTTCTACAATTACATGAGAGAGAATATATTTGATGTTAAGCAAACATTTTGGATTTAAAATGTAACCTAGTTAAGTCTGGTGCAGAGACATGACAGGAACATAGTACTAAAATGCTGTTTTATCTATACCATCTCAGCTTCAAATATAGTATTGTATTTGTGGACCTTAGATTAGGTTAGATTTGGCTTAACTTCTTTTTGTTGTACATTTTAGTTACTGAGTTTGGAGTACCTCTGTCGACCTCATTAGTTAGTTCTCATTTTCTGTATGTAATGATCAAAACCAGGCCCATTGTATGACTAAATAAGTGAAAGAAGAGTTATTGGTGTAGAGAAATGCCTGCTTACAGATGCTCTCTGTCACTGGAGGAAGCTGACAGGAGCTCACAGTAGTAACACGTGAAGGAGMTGTGGCCTGGCGCTGTGCAGCGAGCAGCCACAGATGGAGCATCTTGTACTCACACCCATCATCTTTCTGGCTTTTGCATTTGTTTCAGGGTGAAGGGGGCAACAGCCCTGCTCTATTTTAGGCAGACCTGAGTTATGACCATGGAATCTGTCAGAGGGGCTGGACAYTGGACATGTTTGAAGACATCCAAAATGGATCTCAGAAACCACACTTGAGGCCTAATGTTCCTACATGTGCATTCATGGCTTCACTCGTGTGAGGAATTGTGTGGCTTCAGAGGGTAATGTCACTGTTGTGTGTGAGTTCTCCAGGTGTGCTTACCCTTCCAATTCAAGCAGCGTTTTCTGCAGAGCTGCTAAGCATCTTATCTGAATAAGGACATAGGTATTAGTAAAAATAAAACTAAAACAAATAACTAGATACAGCCCCTCCCCACCTCTCCCCTCCCCTTTTTACTTTTCTTTAATTTTAGTCTATTCTCCAAAACATAGAATTTTCTCRAGAGGATTTTGCATGAGATACTGGACATTTTAACAATTAAAGAATTCTTTTTAATTTTTCTACTGTCAAGTTCACYTGGTATTTCTTAATCATATTATAGTACTGGGGTGCATTTAGAGCTGCAGCCCATTTGTAAGAAAATTTTTAGGCTGAATTTTCAGTATGTCTGTGCACTACCTAATATAGCGTATTTTTTACCTAAGACATTATTTCTGTTTTATTCAGACTTCTGGCTATTGGTCTCTCTAAACAGGCAACAGTCTGCACTTTTAAAATACTTAATAGTAAGCATAAAAAGTGCTAATATGTCTCTGTTASTGTGTGCAATGATAGCTTTTTGGTTGTCATATCAGTGTCTTTTTATTGTAGCTGGTTTTATTTCTTCCCCCTCATGCTCTTTATGAAGGTCTACAATAGGTGTGGGGCTAAAAGAAGGTAGGCAAAGGAGATTTCTAATGCTTTAAGAGATTCCTAATGCTTTAAGAATACAAGTGAAATGGAGTTGTGAAGTAGRTATAATTGGATAGTGATTAGAAATAATATTTATTTTTTAATTGTTCTATGTGTGGGCAACTAAAAGGTAAAATAAATGATGTGAGTGCTGATAGATGTCTTAAGAGTGAGGCTTTGCGGTCCCCTCACCTCAGCTGTAACCTTTCATGGTTTTGCTCTGTTGTTCCTTCAGCAAAGGCCTGGTGTCTGACTGATAGAAAGTTTCATGACACAGTCTGAAGCGTAAATGGAGTTGATTGTAGTCGTATGCCTACATAAAAACACAAGGCTGATGTTCATAATGTGGTATAAGGCACTATCTGAGGTTTGATTCACCTTCCAACTTGGTGTTTTCAAAAGGTAYATCTGCAAATGGAATGAGACTTGCCATCCCATGCACTGCAGGTTGTTAGCATTCCTTTAAAATCGTGGGCTTTTGTAAATTGGTGCGAGCGTGAGTATTGGAGACCTTCCGTGTGCTGGYGGCCAAGAAGTGGTGAAATGCCTGCATGTGATATGTTGTTGTGTGTAAGCCTGAGCATCTGTGTGTGCTCTCCTGCTGCCCTCTCCCTTGGCTGCATGTGTTGGGCAGGGATGTGTTGGTGGGGTTTGCCTTGCCTTGAACCCAGGGCTGTGCTTTTGGATGAAAGTTAGCTGTCATTAACAGGGGTGGAATTTTGGTTGAAAGTTTGCCCAGGTGGCAGCCTCTGGATTKAAATGTGTTGGCTGACGGGTTTTTCATGGTGAGATACTGTGATAGAGGCAACCTCCAAATTTGATATTTGCTTCTTTATTTTCTCATCAGTTACTTATTTTGGAACTAGCTGTAAACCTGACTTTAGGATTTATTGTGTCACTCCTTGCTCTATAAAGAGTACAAATGTCAAAATGTTTCTCCTTTGTATTGGAGTGTGGTTGTGACTGTTACCACGTTTTTGTTCGTCAGGTGCCCACGTGTGAAAGCCTTTGTAGTTTTGTACAGTTAACATTTCTGTGAGGCCAGCTACTTGAAAGAAAGTCAGGCTTTAATGGAGAAGGATAATTACGGAAAGCAGTCTTAATCCTTCTTTACTGTGCTCAGAAATTTTGTACTACTGAATATTTTCTCATTGGTGCGGCTCCTTTTCAGTGGCAGCTGACTAGAAAGTGATATCTTCAAAGCTTTATAATAGTAAATGCATTTCTCCTCTTCAGTAGCTCCTGAAGACATTTGCTGATTGGTACTGTGCTGTGTTCTTAGTTTTTTTCAAGGTAGTCAGACAGCAAGTAGATCCAGAATGGTTTAAAGATTCAATGTGTTCAAGGGAAAAAAAGTCCTAGTAGGTTTTTATGGTGGAAGAAGTTGTAACTTTATTCTCTGTATCACTAGCAGTTAAAAACCCTTAGCACTAATTATATGTACTAAATTTTTATTTACTGATTAGGAGGCTCTACTTTGACGTATGACTAGCAGGGAGGCCCCTCCCTTTAACAGTTGTATGTCATCTGCTTCAGAGAACTAATTACTTGGCAATTCCCATTTGATAATTCCCTCTTTATTTTCTGATGAGTTACTTAACAGTGATGAGCTTGTTGAGCAGAATACCATGCTCAATCTGTGCTTCAGAAACTRAAGCGTGGGCCTGGGGATATCATTGTTTTTGAAACACTGTTTAGCCTTGCCCTAAGAGCATTGAAACCATACTAAGATACGTGAACAGTTCACAGTTAATGATAAGCTGAATGTGAGTGATGCACGGCATTTGCCAAAAAATAAAAGAAGGGTTTAGATTACTGTTGCAGTACAAACTGACTGTTAAATACATAATTTCTCAAAAAAAAAGAAAAAAAACCCAAACACCAAACCTTAAGTAATTTAGATGCTAAGAAGCAGAAGCTTGTGTCAGAGATACACCATCTTTGTATCATTGCTCCTCTTCACTGAAATGATCGATTTATTGGATWTTTTTTTTTTAAACCCACTGTTCCTTGTAATACCAATTTGACAATTCAGCTGATTCCTGGTGGTTATTGTGTTCTTTTAATACGATATACTCAAGTAAGTTTTTACCGTGTTTTCTCTGCTGTTACCTGTCCTTTTCATTCTTCCTCACTCCCTTTTCACATTCTTTTACTCTAGTGGCCATAGCAACCCTTGTTCCTGGCTGGGGAATGCATTACAAGTCTCACTGCTAATTACAGTATCGCCGTGTTTCTGGAGGGTACCTAAGTTCAGCAGTGCTTAGCTACAGCACCRGGCAAGGGGATTTATGGGGTGAAATGACATCAGCCTACTCACGGCTGTCATGGTAAGGTCAAAGTGAGACTCTCTTGCAGACCAGGAGTCAGATGGGTCCTGTTCAGTCCCAGCGCTTCTGCATATTCAATGATGCTATTGAATTTGAATAAAATTTTTTACTGATTTTAGCAGGGAAAGGTTTGTGGATCATCTGCTGTCACTTTGATTAGATGGTGCATTATTCTACAGATACAGATACCTGAAGATTTCCATTTTAGCTAAGCCAGTGCTCTAAGCTGAGAATTAGGCTATTTTTTCCTTTATTGGAATAAAAGGTACAGTATTTMGTGTATTAGCTCACATTACATTGCGTCATCAGGCTTGGTGATTGTCTCRGTTTGAGACAATGTTTTCAGAGAGAAACATTACAGGATAAATGTTTCCTCTGAAGTGAAAAGTTTGATAATTTTTTCCCACCAATATGAAACAGGAGTTTAGGCGAATGTGAAGAGAAAARTAGTTTATTAACAAAACAAGGTGCCCACAGGACACAGATTAGAGAAACTGGGTAACTGTTAGATATTTAGAACTCAGGAATACATGCCGCCCCATCTCCCACTGCCGCTTGGCACGTGGCTTGGCTCCTGTCTCCGGAAAAAAAAAAGAAACAAAAGAAAAAGTCCAGTATGGCYGCTCAGGCAACAGTGGAAAAACCYGGTGGTAGTCCTCTCCTCACTGTGGATGAAATAGAGGGCTYGGTGTGCTTTTCTGTTGCCGGCTTGGCTCCTCCAGAGTCCGGGATGAGACGGAGTGGTGCGGTTTGTCCCTGCAGGCCCCTGGCTGGTCGGCGCTTGCTTCTCGGTTTTCGGACTGAAGCCCTGCTGAATTGCTCCAGAAAGAAAATCATGGGATTTGTAGAAGGGGTGGCAGTCCAGAGAGAGCTGTTTGCCCAAACTAACAAACTCAGCTAGCTAAGCAGCAACAATGTAACTGCCCTGCACAGTGAGGTGAGTTCGCGGAGCATCCAGCGGAGCTCCTAACCACAACGGGTTGTGCGGCAGCCCTGGCTTTTAACTGCGTGTGCTGCCTTCCCTGCCACCCCTGCCCATTCTTCTGGGTCAGATTTAAAGCCTCAAGGACATTTTGGGCATACAAGCAGATGGAATATGGGAACAGAGTGTTATCATAAAATCAACCCAAGACAGTGATTTATTAGGTAGTCACAATATCTCTTGCCCAGTACTGGAAGCTGTGTAACAGGATTGTTTTATCAATGAGAAAAACTCAGTTGTACATGGTTACATGTGTTTTTGTAAAATTAATCATAGGAATAGTAATTTTATGAAACATAATTCAGAACAGATTAATCTGCTTTGTGTTCGTGAAGTACATCAGCTATAAAATTTTTTGAAAGGAATATTAATCAAGTTGATCAAAGGGAGCTTGAAGTACAGAATTCAAATATGAACACAATTACAGCAAACATACAGACAGAAGATATCTTGGGTGATTATTTTTAAAAAAWTTAAATACAAAAATAAGTCTCATTTTCCTTTTTGAATTTTTTTACAAATATGTTTTAGAAGCAAAGATACAAGAATAAAAAACAAATACGATTTGAGATTTTATAAAATGCAGTGAMTAGGTAATTTAAACAATTTAATAACACAGGGAGTCAAAACCTCACAGAAGGTCATTGAACCATTTTTCAGTTTTATAAAACCTATTTTTCATTCTRTTTAATTTTTAATGACTCATGGTGTTTCGGGTAGTGCTATATAGGCATTGCTGAAAACAAGAATCCTTTGTAAGAATCAGAAAAGAAATCTGACTGTAAGTAGGATGCCCCACCTGTGATATGAAAAGTTTGCTTACACTGACAGGACTTGTCACTTGACAAATCCTTCTACAAACCATTACAGTTGTTGGGGAGGGACCTGYATCCCAAGCCTGTGGTGTCATATTCATTTTCCAGAGGCAGCCAAAGAGTTACTGGATATTGATTTAGACTGATCTTTATCTGCCTGCTCAGAGGTGTCTAAGATTGAACTTTAAAAGTGTTTGGCCCC